AGAAGGATGTGGTGCCAGCAGTGGGAGCGAAGCATTTGAGGCCATGAAGCCTTGTACAGCCCTCCTTGTATATCCCTCAGAAGGCCTACAAACTTGCCCATGTTTCCAGGATCTTGAGTCTCGCCGGCCTGTGTGCTGAGGAGGCACGAAGGTGGGACATGTGGGGTGCTCACGCCCTTGGCACTTGGGCGTTTGTTTAATGGCCTCAGGGCCCCAGGGGTTGGGGGTGAGCAAGCTAGTTACCTCACCAGACTCAAGAGGAAAAGGTCAGACGCTAAGATGGTCAGCGCCTGCCTCCTCACAGCTTCCTCAGAAGCAAGGACTCTTCCCTTGACCCCTCGCTGACCCCAGCCTCTAAAGCCCTGCCCTCTCTGCGATTATATGCCGCCTCAGGAGAAATGGATAGCCAGGCCTTGAGGTTCCTGGCAGCCCGCCGGCTTGGCAGCCTCTTCCAGAACAGTCTGTGGAGGACAGACTGCTCCCTGTCTTCTTCCAGTCTAGTCCCTGGAGAGAGTCCAGCCTCCCTGCTCAAGTCTTTCCCTTTTCTGCGCATGGGGAAGGAATATGCATCTGGGCGTTAAATCACCAGAGAGTGAGCTGACACTTCACAGCAACCGTCCTTAGCAGGAAGCAGGCCTCAGCTCAGAGAGACCCACACAGAGACCGAAGCAAATTTATTACTGCTTTTCAGTTTACAGATGGGAGATCCACAAACTGGTCAGGACGTAGAAGGCACTATCAGCTGGTTGGAAAAAGGCAAGAAGGCAAGGCATCTTTTTTAGTTATTCTTTTAGATATTTTGGAAATCGATAAAACGGGACTGGTATCCCATTTTATCCATATCCAAACTCTCAGGATGGGGGCATGCTGGCTAGCATTTAAATATACCCGAAGCAGATTAAACCCAAGAGGAGGGCTCTAAATATATACATGAGATTTTTTTTTTTTAATGATCCCAGTACGATGGTATCTAATAGATACTGCATCTTTTTCTTTGGAGGAGAACACTCTAGAGCTAAAATCTAAGATAGGGTCTTTCCATCTGTTTGAGCAATGTAAGGGCAAATTTGTGGATTTGTAGGGATCCTTGTTTTCTGTGGAGCCCAATATATTCCCCCACTCACTGTAGCACAGTGAGTAGGATTGTTCCAGGGCTCTAGAGGGTGCCGTGGACTTGACAGGGAGCAATTCTTCCAGAAAAGCTCTCTCCTGCAGACTAGTTTCAAGGCGGAAGTGCAGAGGAATGTCATGCCGCAGAAGCCGGCCTTCCCTCCAGGCGTGGAAGGGGGAGCGTGTGGAGCGCGTTGAGCAGGGCTGCAGTGCCCTCTGGTGGACCGTTGCTTGACTACATTCACTTCAGCGGCTCTGAGTTTGACGGCCTCTGAGGCTAGCTCTGACTTCCAGTAAGTCACGTGGGGGTGGTGTTCTGATCGGTCCTTTTCTCACTGGGGGTAGGGAGTAGAAGAGAGGGACCTACATCCTCAACCTGAAGGATGAGAAATATGCTCAATTCACCCATGTGATGCCCAAGATTGGTGGAAAAGCTGGTGCCCAGCAGGTGCAAAATAAATATCGAGAGGGGAGTAAACCAGATAATAAAGTAAGGAATAAAAGCATAGCTCCTCCCAGAGCCGCTGAAATGCATTTGGGGAATCACAGGTGTTGGTGGACTGTGTCCAAAAAGACCCAGCGTGAAGGGTTGCAATGGGAATTAAAAGTGGAAAATTTAAAGATAAAAAAAAAAGATAAAAAGTGGAAACATTTAAAAAGTTATGTTTAGGGCCGGCTGAGTGGCGTGATGGTTAAGAACTGGCTTGGGACTCCAGAGGGTCCCAGTTCGGATCCCACATATGAGGGCCAGTGACACTGCCCTCCACAGCTAAGATGCTGAACAACAAACAGCTCAACCTGGAGCTGGGCTGCCATGAGTCGCCTGTGACGGCGTAGGCTGCAGCCCCTGCTGCAGTGGGTTGCCATGGGCTACCGTGTGTAGCCAGCAGCCAGCGTGAGCGGCCAGCAGCCGCAGTGAGCAGCCGTCCAGAAGCTGACTGATCTGCCTCACCTGTGAAGAGCGCAATGATGGTGCCAACTTGGGCCAGTGAAGCAACGTCCTCCACAACTAGACTGAAGAACAAAACGACAGCAGCTTGTCTGTTCCCTTTCCCCCAATTCTGCTGTTCCCATCCCCCCAATTCCCCAATAAAAAAGAAAAAAAAAGTTATGTTTATAGAGATGTGGAAAGAGAGGAGTAAACAGCATTGAAAACAACTTGAGGGTTTCTTGGGGCAAGAGCTATGTTAGCAGAAAATGACTAAACCCTAAGCGCTCATGGAGTGACAACCCTATGAACACACACTGTGAGGCCTCCTCAGGTTTATCAGCAGCCTGCAAAGCCAAGTCCAGATTGCTGTGGCAGCATGAGAGAAAATAGTGTCTGGATTAATTTGGATCTCAAGTGTCCCCCTCTCCTCTCCATGCACAAATGTAACTAACCATTGTTTTTTCTCCTAAGTTCTTTTTTTAAAATTTTTAAAATTTTTTTATGAAACCGGTTACCTCTCTCATCTTTTCTATTCCCAGTGTGAAAATATAGGAAATGACGATCCATTCCTGGGTGGAAGGCCAGCGTTCCATCTTCACTAACACGATATAGTTGAAGAGCATCAGGTATCCGATGTACGCCAGCTGTAAGGAAACACAATATAGTCGGTGCCCTAGCTGCAAAACCTGGAAGCCCTGCCCCTGGGCAAGGCCACTGTGTGGCAGGACAAGAACAAGGTCGGCAAGCGGGACGCAGATGCCTGAAGAAACGAACTTCAAAGCTGTAAACTATCAAAAGAAGAACAAAGACTGTACTACATGAAATAATTTGATATGCAATCTTCCTTGTGGCCCTTACATAAGTCTGGGTCCCAGGACTTTGCTTGTATCTGTGCGTCATGATGCATCATTTTGTTTGGCAATGGCCAAGCTGCCCGTGACTTCCCAGCTAAAAGGGGAACGTCTCCTCTTAGGCGCTGCTCTTGCTCGTGCATGAGCCTCAAGTTCTCAAACAAGGGCAGCGCCATGGATTTTTGCCTAATGAATGCCAGGTGGATTAAAAGTCAGGAAGAAGGAAAAGAAGACACTTGCTATACTTGTAAATTGGTCAAACCAACGTAAAAATAGCCTGGACTTTGTCTAGAATCCCCACTTTAACTCTCTCCTGAGTTAATGTCTTTTTTCCCCTCCTACTTTAATGTGCAGGGCTTGACAGTGCCCTGGGAAGGTTTTACCTATTTTCCATTGTATCACCTTCCTGCCCTATTCCTGTTGAGATATTCCTTACTGGTTTCTGCTTCTTTGAAACAAGAGAAGAAAAGGCAATTTATAGAAAGAAATGGCTAACTGTGTGGCCATTCTGTGTGGCCTACTGTAGCTTGGAGTGGGGTTTAATCTTCATGAGGCTCTAATATCAGAGGCTGAACCCTGATGGGACGGGCTAAATTGCTGGGTATCCCTGGAAAACTCCTCAGGGTTCAAGTTTGGTGACTGTCACTGGAGGATTCAGTTATGTCTAGATCAGCAGAATGTAGGAGGGCTGGTGAAGTTCTTGCATAAGGGGCCAAGGAGCCTCTGGAGAGAAAAAAAAAACAGCTCACCTAGGGAAAATGGCAAGTAACTTAAACCTTTCTAGGAAATGCTTCAAGTTGAGGATGGCACTTGCTGGATTTAGGGGCCTTAGGGGCTATGAGTAGGAACTAAGAGTGAGTTTATTCAAATCCGCACTCATTGGAGCCTGCATAGCAAATAGGACATAGTGTGGGTAAAGGATTGAAGCCTTGAGGGTTCTGGAGATAGACTGTGACCGCTGGAGAGCCCTGGGGCAGCTTAGAAGGCAGAGGAAGATGCAACATGGCTGGGAGATACAAAGGGAAAATGGCAACCTACAGAGCTGGAGAAATGCTGCTTTCGCTACTAATGGGACCTCCCTCTTTCCCTCCCTCCCTCCCTCCCTTCCTTCCTTCCTTTTTTTTTTGTAAATGCATAGATTCTTACTATGAGTCAAAGGTATTTTCTGAGACCCTATTATGTGGACGCATTTACAGACACAACCATATAATTTCTCATCTCTTGAGGGACGAACATTCAGTTGGGAGATCACATATGGAAGCATGAGAACAGTTATTTAGATGTTGGAGGGCCCGCAGGGCTCCTCCTCCACAGGAGAGCTTTGCTCTTGTACAGCCACCTGCTCAGGGACTGTCATTTTAGTCCATGCCTCAGCTCCTACCCCTGCCCTTCAGGATCATTAGCCCCTCGCCTGAGCAGAGTCTACTGTACTTGAAATCATGTAAGACACTATTTAAAATGGGATTTGGTTCATATGGTTCCTGTTCGCCATTATATACTGGCCTCCACTCTCCAGTTTCTGTGTGTACTGTATTTTGTCAAATGCAAAAAAAAGGACTTCAGTGGTTTCAAACTCTAAAATGTACTCTAAGCCTCCTTCTGACCTAAAATCCTTCTCTCTTTCTGGTTGCTTTCTTTTTCTTTGTTGGATCATATTCTATCCGTTCTAAGTGAAATGAATCTTGTTAACTTCCCCAGTTTTTATTATTTTACCCAATTCGTTGCAAAACATTCCAAAGCATTATCTTCTCTTGTCACATGTAGGCCCAGTGACACACACACACAATTATTTCAGAACCTCTGCCTTTTAGTGCTTAAGTACAGGCGTACCTCAGAGATATTGCGGATTCGGTTCCAGACAACTGCAATTAAGTGAGCATTGCAATAAAACAAGTCACAGTCTTTTTGCTGGTAGAAGGTCTTACCTTCAATTTATAAAAAATATAACATCTGTAAAGCACAATGAAGTGGAGCCCAATAAAATGATGTATGTATGCCTGTAACTCCTCCAAACTGCCTCTGTCCTCTGAATACAGGTCTAGCGTACTTGTTTGGTGGAAGGAATAGTGTTTAGTGGAAGAAATGGTGTTTGGTGGAAGGAATGTAGATGCAGAAGACAGTAAAAGCTGGATTTAAATCCTATCTCAAGTACTTCCTTGCTGTTTCATTTTGTGTATATCAGTTCACCTGCCTGGGCCTCCATTTTGTGAAATGAAGATGTTTGCTTTTGGAAGGACTGTGTGTGTGTGTGTGTGTGTGTGTGTGTGTGTGTGTGTGTGTGTGTGTTATGTATTTATCTCCTGACACAGTGTGGAGGCCCAATGAACGGTGGATCACATTATTATTTGCCTTTTTTTCCAAGACACTTTTATTCCTCTTGTCTCCTCTTACCTCAGTCCTTGTTTCCTTTTGATCCTCTGTTAACAACAATTCATATCTCTTTTTCTTTCTTTTTAGAATTGCCCTCATTATTGTTTATGTTTCCTCCACAATTATCCTTTTTAGCTCCTGCCTGTCCTTGAAATCACACTCTACAATGCTTTTCTTCTCATAATCAAGCTATAATAGAATATTTGGGACAACTCAAAATATGGACTTCCACAAATAGGGCTTTGAACATGATTACATGGCCCAGCAGAGCAGTGGCTGCTATTTTGGAAGCAACCTACCTTAGAACACTCATGGCCCCCTGCTGCAGACTACCTGAACAAGACGTGATTTAATGGTGTGTGTGTGTGTGTGTGTGTGTGTGTGTGTGTGTGTGTGTGCAGTCACACTACATTATATTCTGTAAGCTTATATATATATAGCTTATATTCTGTAAGCTTTAACAAGCTTGATGTAGAACATCAAAGCTTTGAAAAGAAATATAACCTCATGATTCTTATTTAAGTCTGTGGGAATCCTATAAGAATTTGTATTTTATATGCTTATATATTCTTTTTATACGTTTTCCAGGAACCAAGATGCATGACTGTGAAACTGGGAAACACAAGCCCAGTGCCTGCTGCCACGGCCTGTGGATCCCTGGGGGGCTATGCCACTCCTTATTTCCTCCTTTTCCTGCTGCCCCTGGAGAGTGGAGGGGCACATGGTGTTAGCAGAGGGACGATGTGTCACTGCTGATCAGAGCACACGCCCTGCCCTCTGACCTGGGTCCACTTCACACCTTGAATTTGCATCCTCTCCCGCTGGGTACTTGAAAGGCGCTCTCATCACAAACATGGCCTGGAAGCCAGTTGGATCTCTGCCTCCTTTCCTCTTGGAACAGAAGGGGACTGAGCCTGCTCCTTTGGAAACTTGTGACGACATGGAAGTGAGGTTATGTGGAAATGAGGTGTGTCCTACTTTCAGAACCTTGAGGGTGTAGAAGGGGATACTTTCAGAAATAAGAGTGGGAAATTCTCCTACAGAAAAGAACACAACCAAAAGCAAATGGCACCTTTGATCTAAAGCTGAATTTTATGGTGAAACATCTCTGGGTATTTAGAAGGCTGGCACTCCCCATCTCCATTTACTTCCTTGAGGCTGGGTTTTGTTAATACATAAACATGGATTTCTGGAAATAGTTGTGTAAACACAATCGAACACGGCTGGAGCATGCAGTCTGATGGGCTTGCTGAGGCTAATCCAGTCAGCCATGCAGAAGGCAGTGGGATATAGGCGCTCCATTCCCAAAGAAGCAGTTTCACCATCTGCTGCCCATGATACAAGGGAAGCAGTGTGTCCCACGTTTCCTGGACCACAAGGCTCACCTGGGATGTTTGTTACACATACAGCCTCTCAGGCTGTGCCCTAGAGACTTGACTTAGTGGGTCTATGATGGGGCCAGGAATTTGCATTTCTAACAAAACTTCTTATCATTATGGAAGTTTTGGAAATACTGGGCTAATACCTCAGTCCTCTGTCTGGGGTAGTGGTTCTCAGTTCTGGCTGTTCATTACAACCACCTGGGAGCTTTGAAATATCCTCATGCCCAGGCTGTGCCCCGGAAAAAAACACATCAGAATCTCAGAGACTAGAACTCAGGTGTATTTTTTAAAAAAATAGATAAAGATTTAGATTAAATAGAACTCAGGCTTTTTTTTTTTTTTTAAAGCACTCCAGGTGATTCCATGTATAGCCAAGGCTGAGAACCACTGGCCAGGGCATTTGTGATTTAAAAATGTTCTTGGCTAATAACTTGCCTCAACTAAAAAAAATGGGGGCTAGAGGAATTAAGGAAATAAAATGAATACAGAACACAGATCAAGAAAAAAAGAGGAGGGATAAGAGAAGTGAGTACTCTGGTCTTAAAGGTGATAGGTAATTCTTTTACTGATTTCTTTTATGCTCTGGATCAGGAGTCTGCAAACATTTTTTGTAAAGGGCCAGATAGTAAATTTTTAAGGCTTTGTGGGCCTGATGGGCTCTATTACAAACAGTCAAACTCAACAGTTGTAGCATAAAAGCAGTCAGAGTACAGGTAAAGGCATGAGTCTGACTGTGTCCTAATGAAACTTCATTTAAGTACACTGAAATGCAAATTTGATATAATTTTTATGGGGCACAAAATATTCTTCCTTTGATTTTATTTTAACTCTTTAAAAATGTAAGTCTATTCTTAGCTCGCAGGCCACAATAACAGGCAGTGGGCTAGATGGGGCTCATGGGTCCTTGTTCGTCAAGTCCTGTCCTAGGTGACACAGTGGAGGCAGCCCTATTCTAAGAGGAAGGACACACCTGAATGTAAAATGCAGTCAAAATACCACCTTGATTAAACTTAGATTAGGGAAAGTGTATATAAAGCACCTAGAACAGTGCCTCACAGCAGGTGTTCAATAAATGGTATTTTATTATTGTTGAGTGGATGGATGAATAAAACACTGACTAGTGCTCTTCAGTGGAACTAGCCTGGGAACAACAAGTTATGTTTGTATTGTGCTTACACATTCCAGGCACTGTTCTAAGTGCTTTACATATTTTAACACATTTAATCTTTACTAAACCTTATAAAGTAGGTATTATTATTATTATCCCCATCTTAAGAAAACTAGGGACAGAATGCTAAAATAACTTGCTTGAGGTCACAAGTTACTTTACGAATACAGAGGTAGACAGAATTTCTACTCAGACTGTCTGATTCCAAAGTCCATGTGTGTTACCACTGTGTTGTTTTTTGCAAGGTAAAAATAATACATAACCGTAGAAAACATATCAATAGAAATGATTTTTGCATGCCTTAGCTATATTTTTTCAGAGGGAGAATTTTTTTTTAACATTAATAACTTGAACTTTTATTTCATTACAAAAATCTAATATTTATATTTTGATAATATCTCATCCCCTTCTCAAGTCCACACTTTAGAGCAGTGGTTTTCAGCTGATGGCAATTTTACCCTGCGATGGAACATTTGGCAATATCTGGAGACATTTTGATTGTCATAGTTGGGGCATGGAGAGTGCTACTGGCATCTAGTGGACAGAGGTGAGGAATGTTGGAAAACATGCTACAATGCACAGGACAGCTCTCCTTCACAAAGAATTACTCTACCCAAAATGTCGATAGTGCTGACGCTGTTACCATTAAGTGTTAGCATACAGGACTGCACAAAAAGCACCTCATCTGGTCATTTGAGTCATCCTGGCCTTCAGATGTGATTATCCTATTGCTGACTCAAGTGATTGGTCTGTAGCTGGTTGTGAGAAAGACCAAAAATATAGATGAATTATCTATCCATCATCTGGCACAGTCCCAGCTGTGGCTGGAGAGTAGAGATGACCTGGGCCACAGCTCACCTTAAGCTTAAAATATGATTGAAAAGTAGAAGTAGATACCCAACAGTCAAGCCATTTTGACCACATTAGGATGCTATTTCAAGGACAATTTTTCATCTTGTGGGCAGAAAATGTTTGCAGGGTGTGCTTACTGAATATGCCATGGCTACAGTTTGCTTCAAGTAGTTTTTGCTGCTTTGTTTGCATGTTAACTGTTGTAGAGCAAGAAAGGTTGTTTGATGACACTACCAGAGTGGGAGTAATTACCCACTAACACTACGTATCTTTAGTAGTGTTACTTCTCACACTCTGCTCATCCTGTGCCCACCAAATGTCCCCCCAAACCCAGCACTGTCATTTAAAATGGGCAACTCTGATCCAGCACTCATACATCCAGAGCAGGAAAACGTTTTGTAAAAGGATGTCTATTTTCCTGCTGGAAGGGACTCATACTCATCTCACTTCCATTTCTGTTAGTTCTCACTTTTACGATTTCCTTTATTTTCTGCAAGGAGGAGAAATGTAGAAGCTATGGAAGCTGCCTCACAAACTCCACACATCTTGCAAAGCTATTGCAAAAAGCAAGGTCATAAAGCTTTGTTTTCTGCCTGTGTGGCCCCCATATTACGACTCATTGAGGAAACCACCCAAGTGCATGAGACATTGACATTGGCTTTTTGTGGCCATCCATTCAAAAGAAGAAAAGGGAAGATACTTACAGTGTAGAACCAGAACTTCACGATGGGTGCATTGTAGAACTCATAGATTTTTCTGCCGAGCGGGATTAACCGGTGCCTGCTCTGAACTTCCTCTTCATCCTTCTTCCTGGAGGACTCCCCATTGTTTCGTCCCAACATCGCCTATAATGGAAGAGAATTCATACCATTACGGCAGGGCCCTGGAAAGCATGGAGTTCAATGTGCTCATTTACAGATGAGGAAAACACGCTCGTAGAACCTGAGAGCTTTGTCCAAAGCCCCCAGAGATTTAGAGGTTGTGCCTTCCCTAAGTGTGCATTTGTGTTATGCATAGAATCTGTGTAACTGCTGGGGATGGAAGGCTTTCAGGATATTTCTTGAGCACTCTTGTCTCTTTCACTCTGGGACCTCTGAAAGATGGGAGTGATAGAAGGTACCCAGAGTTCGGAGAGGGAGAAGGAGTAGCCTTGGAAGATCACGAATCTGTCTTTTCTCCCAACCTCTTCTCCCTTATATATAGTGAAACGGGCAGATCTGGGTTCAAATTGTGTCTCCGCTCAGGCTAATGGCTCTTAAATCAAAGGTAAATTAGTCCACTAATACCTAATTTATCAAAAAGTTATGAGAATTCAAGTTATGAGCATTAAATTATTGAAATGCCTGGAGCTTAGTTGTTCAGGAATATCTCCCCAACCTTTAGGCATATGCCTTGGTTGGCTGATTTCAAACCCTGTAAAACCTGAATTATTGTTGGTGTTAGTTTCATGGCAACACCTGGACACACCGCCTTCCTCTGTGTGGGAGAGTAAACCAGGTGGGACTAGAAGAAGTCAAGCCTGACCTGGAGAGGCCCTCATCTCCAAGCTATTGGCGATTTCCTTAAAAATGGGATTATTTCCTTCTCATTCATGACAACAGCAGCAGCAACAACAACAATTATGATTAATTATTGCAAAAAAGGAAGAATTTGAGAAAAGGCAGACACATGCCCATCTGGGTGGCAAGTGACAGGATGTCCCAAAGATGGCTAAGATCCTAATGGTGAAGAGTTCCCTTGGGTCACTCAGAAGGAGGATTGAGACCTCACCTGAACACTTACAGTCCATGGCACCTTGGGCAAGTCTTTTAACCTCTCTGAGACTTACTCCCTTTGTCTATAGAATGAAGGTATTAGTAGTACCTGCTATAAAGTTGATCTACAATCAATAAACATCTGGCACTTAATAAGTGCTCAGTAATCTTTAAAGTGATTTGAGACTTTCTCAGACACCCTTGACTGAAATGATCTAGTTTATATCTCCCCAGGGGGAAAAAAAAGTATGCTATTAGGAATCTATTACAGCATAGTTTTTTGGCTTTAATTCTTTCAGTATCATTCTAAGACAAGATTATTTCTATGATGTTTGGGAAATAAAATTTTCATTAAATGTGAGAACAGTATAAAGTCTTTTTAGTGCTCAGAGACAGACAAGGATTTGTGGGACATGAAAAGAAATACTGGGAATATAGGTTTAGAGTTGAGAGATCTAATTACAGAAATAATTTGTTTATCTTGAAGTTTAGAACAGAGACAGGCACTAGGTAATTCTGGTTTCAAACCACCTTATCTAAAATATCAAATACTAGTTTCAACTATTTTTGTCATTGTCTCAAAAATCCACTGCATTCATATATATAAAAAGTCATGGGCCAGCTGAGTGGCGTGTTGGTTAGGAGTTGGCTTGGGACACCAGCTCTGAGCAGCAGGGCCCCGGTTCGGATCCCACATGAGGGCCAGTGACGCTGCACCTTCTACAGCTAAGATGGTGAACAACAGCTTGACCTGGAGCTGGGCTGCTGTGAGTCACCGGTGACGGTGTAGGCTACAGTGGGGCTGGCTGGCCGCAGGCATGAGCTTTTGTGAGCTGCCATGAGCGGCTGTCCAATGGTTGGCGAGCGACTGCCTCACCCAGGAAGAGCACAATGATAATACCAACATGGGCCAGTGAAGTGACGTCTTCCACAACT